TCGATAGTCGCAATGTATGCAAGACAGGTTCTAGTTATGAGAAGTAAGCGTGTGAGATGTATCCATGAGGCTAGTTACTTACTAAGACACCAGTCTTGAGTCGGTGGCTTTTCTAGCGCGACCTCGGACGGGTAAAGTCACATTTCCAGCTAGAGTATATATCAGTGTTACGACGGGAATCACGTCGATATGACTGAACTTCCCCGTCAACCTTCACTCCGTGGTCTTGCAGATCATGCACAAAGGGAACCAGAGCTCGCTCAAAGCCTCTCGCTCCTGTAGGCGTCCAGGTGCGAATCAAGATATGCAGTTCGAGCTTGTTTAATTGCTTGATTTTGGCGATGGCAGCAAGCACTTTGACCTTTTTCTCGAAGGTATGGTTGGTAGCGACAGATTCCAAGTTCTGACGATCTCCTCCAGAGTTGCCCCTAAGATCGTACTGTCCCGTTCTGCGCCACCTGAGTTTGTCGACGTCCAGATGGGCTTGAAAGGAAAGCAGCACAGTTAGTGAGCGAACGAAGTCGAAAGCCCGGAGCGGAAGTGATGCCAGCGGCAGGCCATTTTCCAGAAACTCTTCCACATCGTTTGGGTGGTAGATACGGAATTGTGCGTGTCTGTGGAGTTCCTCCATGATCTCTTTCTGGAAGGAAGTGCCCATAAACTCACTCGTTAGATAATGAGGGATGGGATCGAGTTCGCTGTCGTTCCACGAGCCGAACGTCTGACTAGAGCAGAAGGAAACGCGCCAATCCTGTCCCAGGAGTGTTACTTCTACTGAATGAGGGAGAAGGTGATCGTAGATCATATCGCGTAACTCGCGAGGGAGCTTATCAAGAAGGCTTTGAGAGAAGCTTTGGCACCAAGATTGGCCGTATTCTCGAGCAGCAGTAGCCTCTTCACGACGCAGGGCCCTTTGGCGGCGCTTCAGCGAATGATATCTAGACTCGGCCTTCATCATCTCAAGTCGAGCGGTAGATGTGTTCGAATTGTTGGCGTCAGTTTTCTTAAGGGCTAACGCTAGCGCTCGTCGGTTTGCGTCCAAGAGCTCGGCAGCCATGTCCGGAATCGAGGACGGGGTCTCGTCCGCGCCTTCTTTCATCGAGAGATAGATGAATTTGGCGTAGGTGAATCGTCGATATTGAGGGTAATGGTCTAAGGTAGACGGGTCTCTGGGATGAGGGTGGCTAAGTACGGTTGACGGGAGATAACCGAGACATAAATCGCGCAGGGGACAGACCAGTGCTTAGGCAACAGCGAGTGATCGGAAGATTGGTACCCAGTGATCTGTGTTTACACGTCAATACCTAGAAGAATTGTCATGAGCTTGGACCAATGGCTGTCATTCCAGTGAATCTCTCGCTTTTTCGTGGAGTGGAAGACGGCCGTTACCCTATTCATTAAAACCACAGTATCGAATCGTTAGTGCAGCTTTCGCTACACGACAATGGAAAGCCTATATGTAAACAAGGTGTGTAGTCCAAGCAATAGCCCACAAAGGCTGGTACCGAGCTGTATAAGGGTCAGGAGATGGATTGTGACTGAACTACAGATGTCGGTCTAAGCCGCTGCTCTATCGAGATTGCACACTCGCGCAAGATCATATGTCCGACTAAAGTAAGAACGACGTGTATACAGCTGTCAGGGAAGCATGGTAAAGTTGCCTGCATGCCTGCGACGATGTCTGGGGAGGACGTGGGGATGAAACGCGTAGTGTAGCGACCCCCGACGCTTCCTTGGCGTCGCCTGTGAACTTCGACATTGTCGCATATCCTTTCAACCTCCCCAATCTCCAAAAGTAATGTGACACCACCGCGATGTCGTCCATACCGCGGCGCATCATCCTCATCGCATCGTCCGTCTCCCTCCTCCTCTTCATCGCAATCTCGCTAGCGACCGCCATCGAAGTACGCGCACCAACCACACCAGTGATACAGATCAACCTCGCGCAAGCTGCAAGAGTCGGAGATGGCGATGATATCGTCGCGGCGAAAGCGCTGTTGAACGGCACAGACTTCGATCGTGGCGATGTGTACAACGGCAGCAGCATCGTGTCCGGCGCGACGCTCGTACCCACCACGATGACCGAAACCCAGGACGGGATGATTGGCTTCACACCGGAACCACAAACGAGCGCTAGCTGGAGTGCTGAAGGTGTATTAGGGCCAATTCCTACGCCAAAACCGTCCGTCGCGCCTAAGCCTCGACCGCCCACAACCCCACAAATACCAATCCTCGCTCTTACATACTCCGGTGCAGGCGGCCCTAAGCACTGCCGCGGCGAACTCCTGCAGAAGACATACTTCCCGCCGCCCCTCGAAACGTGGAAGAACGGCACATGCATCACTCTTCCAAGCGAAGCGCGATGCGGCGTGTTTTATTCAAACAAAGGCGACAACTGCGAAGCGCAGCTATTCAACATGCCAGATTGCTATAACACGACACGGTCGTACGTAAACACGGTCGTTTTCATGCCCGAAGAAAGAGCAGTCGGTGCGCTTTGGAGCAGCATGTGGGTGCGATGTGGTGTCGACGTCCCTGAAGCCAAGATGCTTGACCCGAGTATTCTTGGTGGAGCGCTGAAGAAGCCTGGCGGAGGTTGAAGCTGTTACCGAACGTAAAGCTGCGCCAACACTATGCACATGGACTCCTTGTATCAAATCGAAAGCAGTGGCTATGCATAACCATCATAGCTTATGCCTCGTCCATTGCGTCATTGTCATCGTCGTCGTCGTCGTCTTCGTCTTCGTCTTCGTCTTCGTCTTCGTTTTCGTCTTCGTCTTCGTCGTCATCTTCGTCTTCGTCATCGTCGTCATCTTCATCTTCGTCTGTGGACCGGTCTGAATCATCGAATCCGTCTTCGGTGGTGCTGCGATCTGTCTCGGTATCATGATCCGTGCTATTGCCATCAATATGCAAATCTTCATATGGTCTTTCGAGAAAGCATTCTTCAATGGGCTCCGACCCGTCACACACGCGTACACGTACGACATCTGACGCGTCACAAATTTGAGGAAACAGTTCCCAACCCGTCTCGCACCAGCCACGGCGCTCTGACCTGCCACGATGGATCACATGTCGGTACCACGTCACGTTTGCAATCTTCAACTCTGCGATGCGAAAGTCCCCCGGGAACTTCCAAGTATCTGCTGGCATCGGCCGTTCGTCCCGATGGTAATCCAATTCGACATCCATGTCGCGCAATTCCAAGCACGGTAGTGGCCCTTGCCTGTGGCTGAATGCACGGACAATAGCAAGAATCTTCTCTCGAGGCTCGTGTACCTCTCGAGTGATGTACCTATAGCTGGTGAGCGCGAGCCGTCGAGGTTGAGTCTTTGCCAGAAGGTCCAGGTTTCCCTCCGGCCACGGCCCGACATTCCGTTCGCTGTTATTGTGGAACGTTGTGTATACGATCGTCAACGACTCGAGGACTGGCATGCGGGTCGAACTGGAAATGCCAGCGCCGTATCGTAGACATCCCAAGTCGAGGACGAGGTGTTGGAGATGGGGTAGTGGCTTCGCAAGGAACGGGGAGAGTTTTATTCGACCGCGGTACGATATCTCATACGGCGCTGAGACTCTGTGTGTTCCCCTGTAGTCGAATCCTAACAAAAGCGACCTAAGAGCTTCCGCGTGTCCGCTTTCGTGTATCGATGTGTAAAGTTTCTACATTCACGTGTTAGCCTCTATTTTGAGACTATCTGTGGAAACGATGGGTGATTTGACGTACTCCAAAGATGTCTATAGAGCGGAAGGGACCCTGCCTTCGTTCTGGAATAGTTTCATTGGCGACGTCTTTGTCATAAGAGTCACGGGGATCGTTTGGCTTAAAAGACTCAAAGATTGGGACACATCTAATGCTTTCCAAACGAGGCGCAATGCTGAGAATTGTCTTGAAAGCGTCCGCCAGATGGTCCTGTATCCAGACCACCCGGGATCGTTGTATGGGTGTTTTGGCTATCTTGGCACCGCCGATAGTGAGCTGTTTGAACGACTGCGACACCCAGGGAAGCTGCAACAATCGCGTCAAACGGCCCAGATGCTCCTCAGTGCATTGGAAGGGTACATCATGTAGGACCTCTAGGAACGCTTTTTTCAAAGCGTTATTGAGACCCCGACATGCTAGACGGGTGTTGTACACTGACTGGCAACTCCCCACCAGTATTCGCGGTATGACTGGTGCGACGGAATCGTTGTATGGAGCATATTCAATGAGATTCATTCCGATCATCTCGATGAGTTCGATCGGAAGATCAATTATGGTTCTGGGTGGCGCTGACGACATAATGAAAGTTGAGTGGGCGGCCTATCTCGACAATGGACAATTATGAGGCTGGAGTGATCAGATTCTGAGGGTTCGCGGAGCTATGGCGGGGATGCGCTGGGATTAGCAAGGGTAATTAGAGCTAGGCCATTCATGGATTAGCGGCTGCGCTACCATCCAGCCGACCTCGGGAAATCCTCTCGCCTCATACCTCCGCGATGGAGAGCACCAAGGTCGCGTCTTCGGGCACACCCATCATAGCGGTGAAATCTTATTCAGATCGATGAATTTTCGTCAGCCGATAACCGCGATCTGATATCAAAGCTCCCTTTGAGTCACCAAAACGTGCAGACGATGAAGCCAAGAACACCTGGACAAGTAAAGCCACAAACTATGATGGCGTACACAATCATTTAGCAACGAGATGCAAACTCAATACACTTTACTTCGGCATCAAAAAAAGTCTAAAAGACTCAGGCTTGACTGGATTACGGTCGTGGTGGTTACACAAGGCCATGACTGCAACGAGAAAGATGTGCTGCGCTGAGCAGCAGCAGAATGCGAAAACCAGAATCTAAGTCAACCTCATTCTCATCTTCACTTTCACTCTCACTGTCAGCTTCATCTCCAATGGCACTAGTCTCTTAAAGTGCCGCATCAAACGGACGAACGCTTCACCTACACAGATTTCCTGCCGCTTATTTTCTGCTACCCATGGACATCGCGCAGCTTAAAAGGTATGTCAAAATCCACGTCAGCAAAGCTAGCAACCCTTCGCAACGCCTTGGCTGCGCTACCAGACAAAGATGTCCTGCACAAATACCTCGGAAGGTCGACAACTGCTCCAAACCTACTTCGTGACGCTGTCCTCGTCGTCCTCCACCGCAAATGGTCAGCTCACCCACCGTATCGCCTCACCGAGCTTGGAATCACCACCTACGACCGATCTAGCATCAATCAAGGACAGCCTATAATGGCCGGCCCGCACGCAGAAGACTTGCTACGCAAAGTATGGTGTCTCCACCTCGTCATCCGCTCCACCGCGCACCTCGACGCTACAGCCACCGGTCTCGATCCTTTCCATTTCGGCACCACGGTCTATGTATCCCAAGAAGAAGCTCTTGTCCTGCTCGAGCACATCTGGCACCAGCCTATGGACGAGCAGAACGAGGACTCTGGCTACCGACCCATCATGTACATGTCCTTCGGCTCCAACGGCAGCATCAGCAGGGTACGCAAGACGGCGTTCGACTTCGACCCAACCCTTCTGGATACCACGGTAGCGAGTCTCGATGCGCAAATCATACCCCAGCAGTCTAAGATCACGCGCCACGCAGACGCAGACTTTGCATACCTCCTCAGACAGTTCAGCGTCCCGGTATAACACTCCGATAACAGCGGCAACGCAGCCATGTACGCCACCATCGTCGCTATCCTCTCAACCCTCCGCTTCGAGCTCTATGGGTCTCTACAGAATGCGAAGGCAAAGCCGGGGCGAGTGGGCCAGTCAAGTTCCAAGTCTGCGGCGTTTGTAGTGCAGAGTTTGATGAACTGGCCCACGCCGGCGCCGCCTGTCGGTGTGGAAGTCTTTTGCTGGAGGTGCGGGAGTGGTGAGCATGGGTTTTTGGAGTGTCACAATGCGGATCTGAAGTGTAGGAGGTGTGAATGTGCAGTGCAGGAGTGGAGGAGAAAGAATGCTGGGACGCATATGGAGGGGTCGTGTGCGTTTGGGCCTCGTTGAGCAGATGGAGCGGGCTGGTGTGGGAGCAGCTATGTGGATATCGTTAGTGTCACTACGAGTCGTTGATTCATGTAGCGGTGATGAAGGCAGAAGTTGGAAAAGGCTGGGGTCACGTCAACCAAAGAAAAGACTGTTCACAGGTCTGGAGCCTACATCAAGACACGAACATGCAAAGTAGGTGGCCCAAGGTTAAGGTAGGCTCCAAGGTGTTCAGCGTTTCTAATGTATGAGGTGGGGTCTGACTTGTACGCCAGTGTGATGATTTCATTCGTAGCTGCGTAGCTACCTGGGTGTTCTACCGGTAATCCTTTCAAAAGTTTCCTTGATCTCATCTCTCGCCTCTGTCCCCGTACACCTCCTCAATCTACTGCCCGCCGAACCCGTAGTCTCTCGGCGGTATCGGTAAGTACTGGTACATACACCTCGTCGTCTTGTGTGTGTTCCGCGCACCAAACAGCCTCTTGACGCCCGAATTGCTGCAAATCTGACAGGTCAGAGCAGTGTAGCAGGATTTGGCGAGATGACTCTTGTGATCGCATCGGATGCAGTACACGAGCTCTCCCCACGGAGGCGGCGACAACGACTGTCCCATCTCCATGACTCCAGCCACCACTTCTGACATACTGCGGCCCTGAACGATGGCGGGTGGCGAGCCGGGGACGTCTGGATACATCCAAGGCTTAAGGGTGAGTAAGACGGCGGCCATGAGCGTGGCGGCTGCGTCGTTGCCGGCGGTGTGGAGGTTGGGTACAACCATGTTGAAGTGAGCGAGAAGGTCTTTGAGTCCGATGAATGGCCCTCGCGGCGCTTTGATGCCCAGCTCTTGCGCCATAAGTTGCGTGTCGATGACCTTGACGATAGTACCGTAGCTGAGTAGATCGACGCCGAACGCGCGCTGCATGTGTTCGAATTCGTTCTCTACGGCGTGACCGACCAAGATGATGGGCTGCAGATCAGACCCGCCTCCATACTCCCGCGGTCGCACAAACGTGTTGATGAGGACCCGTTTCACCTCGTCCATGGTGACGAACTTGGTCTTGCCGAACACAAAGTTCTCGGGGTCTCCAGCGCCGGGGAACCTGTTGATGAGGTGCGCGTTCTCGATGATGCGGGCGTGCGCGACTTGGATGCTAGACAGGATGTTTTCTGCATGAATGGTTGGGGTCAGGCCCTTTTGCATGAGCTCAGCGATTCCGAGCTCGGTGGTGGGTTTGGGCTCTTTCTGCCACCACTCTGCGTCGATGCAGACGACGGCGGCCTCATTGAGTCGTTGGGGGGAGCCGACCGCGGGTATACCGCAGAAGTGGCCCAGGACTTCAAATGCGGAGGTGTTCTGGAGGGACTGCTGGAGATGGTCGTTTGGCGTCATGTAGTCCTGATTGGCGCTCATCTTTTCGGCTGACCGAAAGTCTCTCGGTTATGTGACGTAAAGCCCTGGGATGTGTTAGCCTGAAGATGTAGGTGCGCTGGAAGAACAGCCGCAAGTTCTTAGAGAGGTGCTTGGAGAGGTTATGGAAGGGGTGGTTGAAACCAGAGCACGTTAGGTTGTATCGCAAATGCGAATCAAGAGAATTTGGCTATTGTAGAGAAGTCGGCGTCACTTGCAGTTCGCGGAGTGCGCTAGAACCCGTGATATACCAAACAAGCTAAGTGTGGACCTCAGAAACGAAGTGAATGTGGCTCACTAGCGCCAGACTGGCTTCTTTCTTCGATGTCGTGAAAAAGACGTAGAGCTGAGTCGCAACGATCGATGAAGAGAACCTGGTCTCAGGTGATTACACATACGAATTTGTAGTGCGGCAGTAGAGTATGAAACATGACGTAGATGTCATGCATAGTCGTTACATGTACCTTCACGCGAGTTCGACACGTTGTACACGCCGTGGGCCATGACAAGTCGGCGTGATACCCTGCACTTGCACCAGTTACTACTGTCTCACATTACTATCATTCTCATGCCATTTTACGCACTCATCTAGCCATGCCCAGGCCCTCTTCACTTTGGTCGACTGTCGTAGTGAGAGAGGCACTATCTTGTTTCCCTGCTAGCTCTTCCTCACTGCCGTGTATGTTCGTCCAAAACGTATCCAACTCAGTCGGTGCCTTGGGTTTGGGACGTGTTGAAGCACTGCCCATGGTGCGCAGATTGGAGCTCCATCCACGGACTTCGTGAGTCGTTCTGCGGTTCGCGTTGATGAGGACGGCAAAGGAGGGGCAAAGCCCGATCAAAACGGCTTACATGTGTCAGTATTGAGCGACTAAACTAACGGAGTGGATCAAGCTTAAAGACCTATGGGAGACTTACCAACAGCTGTCTCGGCCATACTCCATACTGCAAGCCATGTACCATCCATCGTCTTGCCAGTCCTGATAGTCTGTGCAGTGACATTGGCAGCGCGTAGAGTGGCGATCAAGATGCAAAAGACTCCACTGGCAAATAAGACCATGATGGCAGTTTTCTGCGTGCGCGGCATCTGAAGGTTCCACGTGAGATGCAAAGGAAACGCGATGACTAGGGATGGTCAGTAGCGATTTCGAGGCGGGCGACTTGATGTGGAGGGTGCTTACGCATAATATTGGTGATCGTATCCGCACCGAATGAGTACCAGATGCTGACGAACTGCCTGACTTTGTTGTTGCAACCTCTAGACCCATCGAAAAAGCTGTCCAGTGATACGCAGGTTGTGAGGAAAGCTACATAGTTTCCAACGAGTGACTGTCTGTCCTGTCAGCACACAGTGGTCACCCTGTCAGAATATTGAGGGGAACTCACGACAGCCCAGAGAATGACAAGAAACCACCACATCCGATTGTACACTCTGGGTAGCCCAACAGTCAATTTCCTGTAGAGAAAAAGCAGCCCAAGCTTGACGGTCCATAAAATGGCCCAGAAGAACGTCAAGGCAGGAAAAATGAGTCTGCCAATGAGATAGATATGATAAGGTAGCTCGGGGTAGGGTGGTATCTGGCCTTCCGTTACCTCCTGCACCTTGACCCGTATAGGTGACAGGACAATGTAGAGTATACATTGCGCAAGGAAAAGCAGGTAGGCAAAGGCCATGCAGCAGTCTTGTGCAACTATTCTCCTCGGTCGCAGATACTGTAGCAAGCATCGGGCTATGATAGCCACTGACACTATGGAGATGGTCGTATAGCCGACTACCCGTACCGTTCTCTGTGGAAACGATGCGCTCGAGACTCCGCCGTTGGATTCGTGAGTAGAGAGAGTCATAACAGTAAATCTAAAGAATGAAAGGGTAGTGCCAACTGGATGGGCAACGTACTGGCGAGGAAGGGACGCCCAGGGTAGACAATGGGGTCTGTTGCTACAAACAGTGCATCCAGCATCAGGTATAAGAGTCGTCCGACATCCTGCTTGACCGCGCCAGCGGTACAGTGGATCTCAACGTACCAGAATCCTGGTGCATGGATTGCAGTCTCATGTCGCGGCAACTTTGATTGCAATAACAGGAAGGAAGAGGCACAGCTGACCGAACTTTCAGTGCGTGTCGCCGCGCCATATTTGGTGGATCCATGCTCTTAGCGTAGCAAAAGCTTGATGCGAGCTGTTCGTCCTAGATGCTCTCTGGGCGGCGTGTCGCACACATTGCTTTTTCATTTTCTGAATTTATAAGCGACAGTTAGAGGGCATGTATTCATCGGTGGACGTCTGCAAGCCTATCTCCCTGCCCTGACCTAACTCTAGATGTCAGGGGGCAACTTGTCGGCGTTGACAGGGCCGGGGCTATCGAATAGCTAATGAGGCTTGCCACGAGCTTACCGCCCGGGACAAGAGCTGGAAGCTGCACCTGCCTGATATACGCTAGTTGTAATCATATGATGCGAGTGTAGCGAAAGGATCGAATCCAGAGTACGGACAAGAAACTTGGTGGTGATGGACGATGGATTGAAGGATTCGTGGAGGACCGATGGCTAGGTTCACCCGCAGACCGTGCCGCAACGCCAAGCCGCGCTAGTGGCGGAGCACGGAACCGAGCCGTCCCAACCCGATTTCCATCTCTCTTTGCATCAACATTTGCAGTTCGATTGCTTGCCTCCCTTACAGAATGCGTCAACTAACTGTCTTGGATCCGACAATGGGCGGAAGAGATGCACTTTAGACGCGTATCGTTCCAAGCGCTCGACAAGACATCTCTCGAAGAAGAGGGGCTCAGTGCCCAAGATCAAAAGTGCAATCCCTTCAAAGTTAGCCAGGCATACAAGTCGCACCATCTAGGTACAGGATCCTGCAGGGACTGTGCTTGCTCCTTACTTCCGCGAGGCAATATGTGCGACTTGCATACTGTGGGCATCTCGGTTCGCGGCCTGCCGCCCGTCACCTGCAGAAGTAACGATCTGAACCTCGCGATTGGACAGTTTATATGATCTCACTAACACGCGCTGTACATCGCATAGAAAACGCGCAACGGCGTTTCTAGACCCGTAAGAGCCGTCTCGTTACTCGCCCTGGGGGCTCCGCGGGTTTGGATACGACTACAAAAGGCTTGTCTCCTGCGATCGATGGCCTGTCCCTTCACATATAGGCCGCAGAAGTTCCGATCTTAATCCCTTGGGTGCGCGGCTATTTACTTCAGCGGTCATGAAGCTTTTCCATCAACTATGCGTTTGCGCTCTTGCGGTGG